CCCAAAGGGTGCTCTACCAAGTGATACGGTAATGAACCCTAAGGGTGAGAACAATCATGTAATGGCGGTTACAACACGAAGTGGGAGAGGCGGTGATATGCATGCCTCGAAAGATAAGCAAGTTGTAGATGATGATGTTGAGTTGCAAGAAAATGATGTTCCTTTGGTAGTTGAAGATGTGGTAGAGAATGAGGTGAACAATGATGTGAGGATTGACATTGATGAGGCCGAGGTGGAAACTCAAGAGGCCGTGAACCCGTCTAGGAGCACATAATTGACATGCCGGAGCCGGTGGTGCCAAAAGCCAAGGCACCTTTGCCTAGACCACCTCCGCCTTATCCTCAAAGGCTAGCCAAGCAGAAAAGTGACAACCAATACCGAAAGTTCATTGACATGATGAAGAGCTTATCCATCAACGTGCATTTGGTGGAGGCTTTGGAGCAAATGCCTGGGTATGCGAAATTCATGAAGGATTTGGTTACAAAGAAAAGATCAATGGACTGTGAAACTATCAAGATGACCCACCAAGTTAGTGCCACAGTACATTCAATGGCCCCAAAATTAGAGGATCACGGTGCTTTCACTATCCCTTGCACTATTGGTAGTGTGGACTTTGCCAAAGCTTTATGTGATCTTGGGGCAAGCATCAATTTAATGCCCTTTGCAGTTTTCAAGACTCTAGGTATTGGGCCACCAAGGCCAACCTCCATGAGATTACAGATGGTAGATAGATCAATGAAGCGTCCTCTTGGTATAGTAGATGATGTGCTTGTCCGGCTGGATAAATTTATCTTGCCGGCGGACTTTGTGATTGTGGACTGTAAGGTGGACTATGAGGTCCCAATTATTCTAGGGAGACCTTTCCTTGCAACGGGGAAGGCCTTGGTTGATGTTGAAGCGGGTGAACTAACTTTCAGGGTAGGTGATGAGAAGGTCGTCTTCCATGTTTGCAAATCCATGAAGCAGGCCAATAGCACCGAGGTGTGCTCATTTGTGGACATTGTCACAGCTGTGATAGTGGATGACACAAGTTCTATGATTAACGTGGAGGACCCCCTTGAGGCCGTGCTATTAAATCTTGATGTCAATGATGATGCAAGCAGAGTGGAGTGTGTCAATGCTCTACATGGGATGGGATCTTCTTCTTATGAGCCGAGAAAATTGTCTTTGGATCTTGAAAATTGGAAAACTCCACCAACCAAACCATCAATTGAGGAGCCGCTGGTGTTGGAGTTGAAGCCACTTCCTCCACACCTCAGGTATGAATTTTTGGGCTCTAATTAAACTTTACCAATTATTCTTTCTACTTGCCTTACTAACATGCAGGTTGAGGCCACTTTGGCGGTGCTTCAAAGGCGAAAAAGGTCAATTGGATGGACTCTGGCGGATATTCGGGGAATAAGCCCCGCATTTTGTATGCACAAAATTATCTTGGAGGATGATGCAAGGCCTCCCTTAGAACATCAAAGGAGGCTCAATGAGGCAATGCAAGAAGTGGTGAAAAAAGAGGTGATCAAATGGCTAGATGCAGGTGTGGTGTATCCAATCTCCGATAGCTCATGGACTTCTCCGGTGCAATGTGTGCCGAAGAAAGGTGGGATGCCGAAGAAAGGTGGGATGACTGTGGTGACTAATGACAACAATGAACTCATTCCCGCTCGAATGGTTACCGGGTGGCGGGTATGCATGGATTACCGGAAGCTTAACAAGGTGACTCGAAAGGATCATTTCCCTTTGCCATTCCTTGACCAAATGCTTGCCCGTCTTGTGGGGCGAGCCTTTATTGCTTTTTGGATGAATATTCGGGTTATAATCAAATCTTAATTGCTCCAGAGGACCAAGATAAGACCACATTCACCTGCCCATATGGTACATTTGCTTTCTCCCAGGAGCCATTCGGGTTGTGCAATGCTCCAGCGACCTTCCAATGATGTATGATGGTTATTTTCACCGATATGGTGGAAAACATTTTGGAGGTCTTTATGGATGATTTTAATGTGGTTGGTGATTCCTTTGAAGAGTGTTTGGGAAATTTGGATAGAGTCTTGGCCCGATGTGAAGAAACTAATCTCGTTCTCAATTGGGAAAAATGCCATTTTATGGTTGAAAAAGGTATAGTGTTGGATCACAAGATTTCTAAGCATGGGATTGAGGTAGACAAGGCTAAAATCGAGGTGATTTGGAGGCTTGCTCCGCCCACTTCTGTCAAAGGGGTGAGGAGTTTCCTTGGACATGCCGGGTTCTACCGGCGGTTTATCAAAGATTTCTCGAAGGTTGTCAATACCCTTTGCAAGTTGCTAGAGAAAGATGTTAAGTTTGTTTTTGATGAAAAATGCATGGAGGCCTTTGAACTTCCAAAGCACAAGTTGACCACTACCCCGATCATTACCGCACCTAATTGGAGTTTGCCCTTCGAACTAATGTGTGATGCAAGTGACATTGCGGTTGGGGCGATGTTGGGCCAACGAGTGAACAAAATGTTCCATCCCGTGTACTATGCAAGTAAGACTATGAATGAAGCTCAACGGAATTACACGTTGACGGAGAAGGAATTGTTGGCCATTGTGTTCGCCATGGAAAAATTTCGGCCATATCTTATGGGGGCCAAGGTCATAGTACACACCGACCATGCCGCCCTTAGGTATTTGATGACCAAGAAAGATTCCAAGGCAAGATTGATGAGCTGGTATTACTTCTTCAAGAGTTTGATTTGGAAATAGTGGAACGGAAAGGTAGTGAGAACCAAGTTGCGGATCATTTGTCCCGCTTGGAAGAGGAAGGAAGGCCGTGTTATGGCTTGGAGATCAACGATACATTCCCCGATGAGCAACTACTTTCTGTGTCAATGTGTGATATGCCATGGTTTGCGGATATTGCTAATTTCATTGTGACTGGCATCATCCCGTGTGAGCTGTTTTCTAACCAAAGGAAGAAGCTCAAACGGGATAGTCTGAACTTCTATTGGGATGAGCCATACTTGTTTAAGATTTGCATGGATGGTGTGATTCGAAGGTGTGTCCCGGAGGGAGAGCAAGTGAATATTTTGGAGGCTTGTCATTCATCCCCCTATGGTGGCCATCATGGAGGGGTGAGAACAGCTTCGAAAGTTTTGAGTTGTGGTTTTTATTGGCCAACCTTGTTCAAAGATGCAAGTGATCTAGTGAAAAGATGTAATCACTGCCAACGAGCGGGCGGGATTTCCAAGAAAGATGAGATGCCTCTGAACACAATTCTGGAAGTTGATATCTTTGATGTATGGGGCATCGATTTTATGGGCCCTTTTGTTAGCTCGTGTGGGAACACTTACATTCTTGTAGCGGTTGATTATGTGTCAAAATGGGTTGAGGCTGTGGCCTTGCCTAACAATGAAGCTAGGAGTGTAGTGTCATTTCTAAAGAAAAGCATTTTCACAAGGTTTGGTACACCCCGGGCAATCATTAGTGATGGAGGATCGCATTTTTGTAATAGAGCTTTTGACACCTTGCTATCCAAGTATGGTGTCAACCACAAAGTCTCTACACCTTATCATCCTCAAGCAAGTGGCCAAGTTGAAGTGTCTAACAGGGAGATCAAGAGTATTTTGTCCAAGACCGTAAATGCCAATAAGACCGATTGGTCTAAAAAGTTGGATGATGCTCTATGGGCTTACCGGACCGCTTACAAGACTCCGATTGGTATGTCACCGTACCGGTTGGTGTTTGGGAAAGCATGTCATCTACCAGTGGAGTTGGAACATAAGGCCATGTGGGCCTTGAGGAAGCTTAATCTTGAGTAGGATGTTGCGGCCAATCTTCATGTTGAACAACTCAATGAACTTGATGAATTCCGATTCCATGCATACTCTAGTTCGTCCTTGTATAAGGACAAGATGAAGTACCTTCATGGCCCGGAGGGATCCGGTACCGAATCGTCTAATATTCGTCCTGAACATCAAATACGACCTAAGAAACCAGTGTCACCGCCCCGCCATGACCAAATACATTTTTTGGCATTTTACGGCCATAAAACTCGAAATCCGCGCGAGTCCCAACTTTTCGTGTGCTATGGACCACGCCTTCTGCCGTGGGCCCGGGGGGATCTGGTACCAAATCGCCTAATATTCGTCTCAAGGATCAGCTTTCGTATTGGCCACCGTTCCCTAAACTTGTGGAACGCTACCTGGCTGACGAACCTATCCTCCCAAGTTGTGGGATTTCTAGTTCGGTCAACACCCCCAACCTGAGGTTCACCACCTCCCTATGCCTCCTCCTCGCCTCCTTCTGCACTCTCCCCAAACAATGAAGCTGTGGGGGAGGTGGAGTATTCCCCACTACCGGATGCCGAGCCCTCAGATGACTCATTCACAACATTGATTGGCTGTCGGACAGTGGGTGATGGCGGAGGATTATCATCAGTCAATCGAAAGTCGGTGACGATGTGAGTTGGGACTGAGTCTGAGGAGATGTCTTGAGAGGGCACATACTCACTCCCCGAGGAATGGGAAGCAGCTCTATCTGCGGTTTTTATCAGCTTGCGGTTTTGTTTTATGTTTTTCCGAGCCTGGGGAGTGAGTTTGACTACTTTCTTTCCTTTGCCCCCTCGGGAGGAATCACCTCTCCCGGGTTGTTTTGTTCCTTTGCCACCTTGTTGTCTAACCATTATCTGCAATTACACATGGCAGAATAGCCTAAATGGCACCTGTACTTCACCCACTTTGTCATGCCGGTCCCCAAAGTTAGACATTTGCCAACTGAACATTATACTCTTCAAAACGTGAATAATAAATGCTTATCCAACGTGGCTTATCCTGTGTGTCATATGTGGCTTCAGTGCGTGATTCACACGCTTGTAAGGGGTGTGAAGACATTTAAAAAAGCCCTAAAGGTAACAAATTAGCCTATTTAACAACCATCTTCTTCTTTCTACCTTATTCTCTATTGTTGAACATTATAGAAGCTAAATTTAGCAAATCCGATGCCTTCTTCTTTCTTTGTTAGCTTCAACAGTGAAAAAATAGAATTTTATTTTCCTGTGATTCTTCGTTGCCCATCAATATGCTTCTGTGTTAGTTCGTTGAGGCTAACTCCGAACATTATTGTTGATGACGTCCTGTAGAGGATTCTGAACCTGGAGTAATCATTAATACTTTGAGATTTTTCAAAGACTTCTTTAACTGAGGAATAGAATGCTTCTTCTGAGAAATCCAATTCTTTTGGAACTTCTATTGGATCGAGTCTTCCGTTGAAGTGAGTAACTGTAATGACACTTAGGGATGGAACCCTAATATCTTCCTCTGCGAACAAAGGGATAGATGACCTTATAGTGATACATAAGGTTCTTATTCGAGTGACTTCCCAGAGTCTTTTGATAGAATCTACCATTTTTGGAGGAAAATTCTCCAAGTGTTTAAAAGAATCAAACACAATAATTTGTTTAACCATACCCAATAAAAACATTGAATAGGCTAAAACTAGATTTACTTCTGGTAGTAATATCACTTTAACCTGACTCTTGAAGTAGGTTGGATATGATCCCTTGAGCTGCTGCTCGCCTTCTTTCCATTCGAAAATGGCCTGTACTGCTTCACTGCGTCTTTCTTTTGTGAAATTGAATGCTTTTGGCATTTCTTCTTTCTTCTTGATTGAAGCATAAAGCTGTTGTCGATCAACTGCTAGTTTCCGTTGAGTAGGAATAATTGGTTCCGGCGGTATCGCTGGTGCCTTGATTTTAGCTATCTGCTGAAATTCTGCGTAAGCCTTCTTGGCTCCTTCCAAGGTTGCGAAGCTTTTGTGGATTGCTCCACTTACACCATTGATCATTGGTGTAATCTGTGACCAATCTTGGTAGATTCCTTTTCTAGGTGTGTTAAAAAGAACATACCATTTTTTCTCTCTGTAGGGGAGATTTACCATATTTGTTGATTGAGCTTCTTGTTCAACCATATCGGCCCATGAGACCTTTTCTTCTGCTGAAGATGCTGATACTTCATTTGTTCCCGAAGTTGCTGAAGCTGAGTTTTCTTCTAAAACCTGCTTGTCTTTTTGTGGTTTTGGGTCCACCACGCTTTGCTGTTGCACTTCTGATGAAGGCTTGATGAATTGCTTCATTGTGTTCAAAGCTATTTGAAGTTCTGAAAGCTTTGCTTTCTTTAATGCCAGCTCCTTCTGCTGCTATTTAACTTGTTCTTCTTGGTGTGTGACTTGGAGCCTACATGGTCTTCTAATTATTGACGTGGAGTCCTACGTGTATGCGATTGTCATACACGCACTGGAAGCCACGTTGGATAAGTGTTTATTATTCACGTTTTGAATGAGTATAAGTGTTCAGTTGGCAAATGTCTAACTTTGGGGACCGGCATGACAAAGTGGGTGAAGTACAGGTGCCATTTAGGCTATTCTGCCATTACACATATCTAGCTTTGTTAGTATCAGCACAGGCAGTGAATCAGTTATGGAAAATGAATTGCAAAACAGAAGCCAGCAGTTGCAGAAAAAGGTTGCAGAAATAGTGCACCGCGGCCCGCACAAAAAGGAGTGCGGCCGGACTAGTATAAGGACACCCAAACATACTCTCTGAATCTCACCACCGCGGCCCGCACAAAAAGGTATCGCGGACACGGTGGGCCAGTGCGGACCGCACAAAATGGAGTGCGGCCGCACTGGACTATGGACACCTCTCTGAATCTTATCACCGCGGTCCGTGGAAAGTGGTAATGCGGCCGCGGTGAAGCCACCGCGGACCGCACAATCACGACCGCGGTCCGCAGTGGATGTCCAATCCTGGCACTGAGTTAGGGTTTCCAATTTTTGCAAATTTGTTCAAGTGTTTACCTATAGTTTGTCCCTACTCAATTACCCAGTTCAACAAGTTCACGAAACACACAAAAACCAATATTTACACTAACCTAAGCTAACAATTAAAGACAAATGGGAAGAAAAAGAAGCTATGGGCTACTGAGCATGAAAATAAAATGAAAATATAAAATTAAACAACCAAAAATGGAGGAAATATTACCAGATATTGATAAGGAGTGAAGACACACAGTGCAAATAAGCTATTACGCGGAAAGGAGGAGATGAACAATGATTTTTAGTCTCTGAGAGCTTAGGGTTCGAAAAGGGTAAAAGGAGACCCTTGAGGTCTATTTATAGAAAAAGCAGTGGGACCCAGCCTTACCTACCAACGCGGCCGCACAAAATGGACCGCGGACCGCGCTGGGTTTGTTCGGGAGAAGTCTGAGAAGGCAACCTCCGCGGTCCGCACAAAGCAGACCGCGACCGTGGAGGTCCGCACTAAATGGGATGCGGCCGTGGTGGCAAACTTCAGAGAGCACCTCACTTGGTTTTCACCAGTGCGGACCGCACAAAGTGCAATGCGGCCGCACTGGCAACTTTAGAGACTGTTCACTTTTTTTTCAAAATGTTTTGCACTGCATCAACACAATCCCTGCAACATCTCACAACCAATTAGTCCAAAAATCAAACCTAAACTACAAAGAAAATCAAAGAAAACAAGAAGAAAAAGACAAGGGTTGCCTCCCAAGAAGCGCCTGATTTAACGTCGCGGCACGACGCGGGTTACCATCTCATCATTTCAAATGAACAACAGCCACCACATGGCTATCATCAGACTTACCAAGATAATGCTTGACACGGTGCCCATTCACTCTAAAGACTTCACCATTTTTGTTCTTCAAATCTAGAGCACCAAATGGGGTCACACATACAACTTCAAATGGTCCACTCCACTTTTTTTGTTGAGCGAGACCTTCTTCCCCTACACCCAAATGTGCATAGACAGTTTCACACTCGAGTGGGTTGGGCGCATTTTCGGAGTGAATGTGTAAAGGCAAATGAGCATATGGTCAAGGAGTTCTATAGCAATGTGGCCCACATCTTGAAGGGCACTAATGTGACCAAAGTGCGGAACAAAAAGGTGGCATTTACTGGGAAAGCACTTAATGAATACTTGGGGTTCGATGACGAAGATGAGACCCTTTACAATGAAAAGTTGGCAATGGGCGAAGAGGTTCGTCCGTGGTTAGCTTCATACCTGGCAATCCCGGGTACTGTTCCAGAGTGCTTGCAAGCAAGGACCAAAATTTCTCGGAAGACCTTTAACTTTGAGGCTAGGGGGTGGTTGACGTTTGTGTGCAGTCGACTTGACCCCACTACCCATGATCAGACTATTCCAGTTGCTCGGGTTGTTCTTGTTGAATCTATTATGGCGGGCTATCCTATCAACGTGGGCAATGTGATGTCCCGTGTCATTTCTGCAGTTGAGAATGACCGGAACTATCCTTTTCCCAACACCTTCACTATGTATTTCCGGGACCTGAAGGTGGAGAAGAGAGATTTTGATATCAAGGTCAACCCTGTGGCTCCGTTTTCGTGGTACAGTTTGAAGGGGCCAGACAACCCCAAGGACAAGAATTACAAGCCGCCTGCCTTTGCTCCAACTGGCCAGCCTGAAGAGCCGGTTGCGGTAGAACCCTCCACTGAGCCTGCCTCCACTACTGTTGAGTTGCCTCCGGGACCTTCCACTACTGCTGGTCCTTCTACTTCAGCTGGCCCGGGGATTCCATCTTCCCGGGCCCATCCTATCACTGCCCACCAGTTGAGCCAGGCACTTCATAGCTTGAACAACTGGATGTCAGCTGCGTCATCCAAGTTGTCTACACTATCTTCTACCATTGCGGCTCAGTCAGCACCACAACCAGTACAGATTCCACAGTCCATTGTGGACACATTGAAGAAGATCCTGGAAAACCAGGAAAGATCATGAGTACTCAGGATGCCTTGTATAAGGCAGTGGATTCACACGGCAAGGTTCTGAAGGAGCTTGCCATGGAGCACAGGAAACTGCGCAAAACACGGGCTTCCAAGGAGTCTGTGAAGGAGCTTAGAGCAGAGGTGGACAAACTGAAGGCAGATCAGCTGCCCTTAGACTTGCTATTTTAGGATCCAGTTCCAGCAGCAGCACCAGCAGCAGAGCCACAGCAGGAGCAGACACAGAGGCTTCCTAGGAAGAAGAGGAAGCTCCCCAGTGCAGATGAGGCGATCATCCAGTTGGCGGACCCACCGGAGGTTTCCTCCAGTCAGCCACAGGATGTTCCTAATATTCAGCCCATCCAGGTCCAGGCCCTAGTCCCAGCAGCTGAGCAGCAGGAGACCGGGAACCAGTCTGAGGTTCCCGCGCATACAGAGGACCCGGGGACCACTCATGATCCTATGCAGGCGGACGAGGCTTAGGGAGTCTTCATATCCTTTAATTATTATATTTCGGTTCTTATTTTGTTAGTTGGCATTGGGGACAATGCCAGCTTTTATTCGAGGGGGTGCGCCCTTCATTTTTGGATGACTGTAAATATCGATACTATTTTATGCTTTCTTGATTTTTGGATGACTGTAAATATTGATACTATTTTATGCTTTCTTGATTTTTCAGTTGGTCTGTATATAACTTTACATTTAGTAACTTTCATCATACTTTTTATCTTCCTTTGGGTCTGTATATAAAGTTACATTATTGTATATATTCATCCCCCGTTGTATATTCATTCCCCGTTTGTACATATTCATTCTATTTTCTATTTTTCGTAAAAAAAAAATTTTTTTTGTTTTTTCGCTTTTAGCTTCTTATATAGGCTCGTAGCTTTTTGTTTTGTTTTGACGCTTTTAATAAGCCTTTGGTTTTCTTAATGCCACAGTTCATTCCAAAGGTGGAGTATTGTGTGAACCGGGTGGCTCTTCCCAATGATAGATGGCGTGACAACCTTCTTAAGGGTTTGAGTCCGTTGTTTTTTTTGTTTTTGGTAGTTTATGGTGCTCAAATCGTATCTAAGGTCGTTGTGGGCCCCCGACTCTATATCTTTAGCAATCCCCTAGCTTGTGTGGTGAGAAATCGAATTGCGTGTCCAAGTCCCAAGCCATTGGCCTAGAACTTGCCCTGAATGTTTGTTGAGGCGAAATCTTAAGTGAAATTTGACTTGGGAAGTGATTATAGTCTCTCCTTGATCCAAATGATAGTTGAACAAATTCCATAGCCTACCAATGATATTATCCCTATTTAACCCTTTTGAGCCTCAGACCTTTTTCTTTCAAGAACCATGTTACAAGCCTATACCCGTTCTAAAAGATACCCTCTCTTGGCACCCGATCTTTCCTTGAGCACATGGCAAAAGTACAAGTTTGGGGGGAGAGACGAGGAGTGCAACAAAGTGGTAAAAAGGCACAAACGTGAAGAAAAGGAAACGCAATGAAAAAGAAAGAAAAGCAAAAAACAAAAAGAAAGTTCAATGTCAAAAAGAATACAAAGGGATTCAAGAAAAGCAGTGAAAAAGAAAGAAAGGTGTGGAAAGTTAAAAAAAAAGGAGAAAAAGGTTTGAAATGCACAAGAAAGAGTGACAATGTGTCTCTCTAACCCCTTGAAAAGAGGTGAAATGACTCAAAGAGTCAAGTTAACTGTGCCAAATGAATCAAAAGAGGTGATTAAGGGAAGATGGAACCCACTTAGACTAAAATATTTCCTACCCTGAACCAAAAGCCTTCACAATGACTCCACAAAAGCCCTATATGATCTTGAGTTGAATGAAGCTAACATTAGTGGATACTTACATAAGGGGCAAGCATATGGTACCTAGAGCCGGATTTGTGACCTTTCCTTGAGAAAGATGAGTGAATTCCCATTAACCTCGTTTTGTGTGCCACTATTCTAAAGGTGAGGTGTGCTTAGGGAGAGTTGAGGATGTGTGAGTTTGGGTTCCACGATGACCAAAGTAATTGAAAGAGTTCTTTGATGTGTTGAGTTAACTCTTGATGCTCTTGTGTCGCACTTAATCCATGGTTGTTCAAGGTTTAAATGTTGTCAATGATTCATTCGTATTAAGGGCAAATGTTAGTCCCAATTGATGCTTGTTGAGGTTACTTTAGGATAACTGGAAGTTCTTGGATGCTACCTTAAGGGATGGGTCTTATTTTGTTTGCTTGAGGACAAGCAAAGGCTTAAGTTTGGGGGAGTGATAACTAGGGATTTTGTAGTGTTTTATGCTCCTTCTTGCTTACGCTTTGGTTATAAATTGTTACAAAATAGTCCCAAAAGGCTCATA